CTGGCAGACAGGAGAAGGTTCAAAACAAAGATTCCAAAGCTAGCTGTCTCTGGAAGGCACTTGGCCCTAACAGCCTGCAGTGCTGCTAATGACTGGAACATGCATGCATGGAACAGACTTCATGACTGTTCAGTCAACACACCGTGCTAGCCAGCCCTGCATACAGACCGTTAGACCTGCTAAAAGGTCCACTGCTTGAGCATGCAAAGAGGAGTGCCTGCTCCCTTGAGGAGGCAATACTAGCACAGCAGGTGCAGCAAGAGAATGGTAAGAAAGCCACAGGTCAGGGGACGAAATCACCCTAGCTGCTAAGAAAAGATGCTAAGGCCCAGGAACTGCTTGAGCACAGCCCATAGTGCAGCCTGAGACTTTGAGGCCCCTCCATCCCAGGCGAATGGAGACAGCTGCTGCTTTCCCATGTGCTGGTTCAGATAGCAGCAGCGCAGGGCATGTAGCCCAGGGAGACACACACATGCAAGGCCACAGAGTTCACCAACAGCACTAGCTGCATCCCAAGAATGAGTGGTGGGAGAGCTCAGGTCTTCATTACTGTCTCTGTTACTACTTGTCTTTTGCTTCTCTAATTTCGTTCACCATTCTCCCAGTTAGTCAGTATTCCCTTTGAACCAAAATGCAATGGAGATTTGCAACTGACAATTTTAAGGAAACTGCATCCGTAGGTTAAACATATCTCCTTCTTCTCCCCACATATCCGCTACCTCCTATCTCCTATCTTTTCTGAAGCAAGTATGACAGTGTATGAGACCAACTGAGGTACGTTCTAACTCACTCAGAATTTCCTCATTGTAGCTTCCTTAGCACCCAGCAGAACACCATTAAGTGCTGGCAGTATATTGCCTTTCTAGAGTCTGTTCTATTGAGGATCCTGTTTTGAGACGTTTACACTACTTTATCTCTCATTTCATTTATCTTTTTGCTGCAGCCTTATCTTCTCTTAGGACTCTTAGAAGAGGCTCACCTATTGACCCTAAAGCGGGCAGAAGCTTCCTTCCTCCAGAGGATGAACTTTTCCAACTTGCTCTGTAAGTTGCTCCTCAAAGCTTTTTAACTTCCCAAAGCTTAAGCCCTTCCATTTTCTCCGGGAATAGCTTCTAGTTTTCTAGTTTTACTCCAATAACATACAAAACACTGACATTTTAATGAATGGCAGCAGAAGGCCAGCATGCTTAGCCCTTCTTTGAGGGCTCTGCGGCATTTACCAAGACTCTACTGCAGCATTTAGATGGAAACAAAATCCATTAAGCATTTCCTTTTGAGCTACACTAGATATGGCTAGACCATTCACGAACATGACCTTGCTCACTTACTCAAAAATCATTTGCCACAATTGGAGGACAGTGCAAGAAAAAAAAAGTACATTGCTTGTGAAGATGACAGTGCATAAGGAAAGCTGCAGAAAAGAATATGCACCTGCTCCAACATTTGTTATGTCACTGGTTATTGTATCAGAACGTCTGCTAGGGCCGCAGAAGTTACGAGTGAAATCCCAACAAAAGTTGTATTCCAGTCATTGTCTCCATAGGCTACAGTTTGCTAATGAAGAAATACTTCTGTACTACAGTAACTACAATAAAAGCCATGTATGTTTCTGTACACTGTATTTTCACAGTTACTTATTCCAGCTTTGTGCACACAGTACAAAAATGTAACTCTAAAAGCAGAAATTAGACATTGCTTTAATGTGTTGATTCATCAGTTTACTAGGCAAAGATAAAAATCCAACACAAATCTATATAAGATATTTTATGATACATCAGGAACATAATGAAGAAAACTGCCTAAAATACAGGCATGTTGGCACTAAGCCATTGATCAATTTTTTCACTTCAGCCTTAATTGAAATTGAAAGGTACCGGAGGAAAAATCCCACAACTTGCTAAAAATGAAAAATAAAAGTATCTGCCTTTGAAAAGAATTTATCTACAAGACAGAAATGGCTATACCATTCCCAAACTTTCCAAGAAGCAAGAAGTACCTTGTTTGATTTCTCTTCAGTGTGTCTTCAAGCTATGCATGATACAGCACAGCTGCAGACCTGCATACTTCAATAAAAAAAGCAGCTGACAAGATTGTTTATTACTATTCTTACATAAATAGTAAGGAAAGGGTAAGGGAAAACAACAAATAGCAGATTATCTGTGATATTTCGTTAGAAATCAGCTACTCCTTTCATAAAACTCCAAATAATTTACTTCGGCCTGTAAATATTTCTCAATATTAAGTGATCTCTGGAGAAACAGTTCAGTAAAATGCATGCAAAGATCAAGCAAATAAGAACTAGGAAGAATGGAAGCTGTGCACCTCCAACCTTAAAACATTTTTAAAAGGTATTCATAAGCATTACATCACACACAAAACACCCTCAATAAAAAGATTTTAAAAAATCATTTATTAGCTAGCAGACAAGTAAGTATGGCAGACAAATGTTCATACTTTTATTAAAACGGCAATAGAGAGCAAAATTTCATGTGCCAATTTGCACAATTATCCCACATCAATTTCCAAACATACAAAAAGCACAGATTTCATCTTACTGACATCACTGAAGCCGGCCTTATAAAGAATTTGGCTGATTTTAAGAAAAGATCTAAAGCAATTCTAATTAAAATCTTTACTGGCACATTAGCCAGCAGTAGGTTCTTTACAGTCTGAAATGGTGAAATACTTGCAAGCTGTTGGATCAAGAGTTACCTAAAATGGCTTAAATTATGTTGCTCAATACGCAAGAAGTCTGAAATGAGAGGCCTTAAAGACTTTTGTTAAAGAAAGTTGGCAGAGAAAAAGCGTTTTATACTTACTATGTACAGGTTGTGTATTTAAGCTCCATTGGGGAAGCACTATTACCAAGCAATCAGGCTAGACCTACAGTCACAGAAGGAGCTGATTTGCTATTTCAAACCAAAAAGCAAACAACTAAGGTTCTGCAGTCATCTCAAATATTGTCTGCATAAGAGGTGTTAATGGGAGATACATACTTGATCTTGAAAGCAACTGAAAACCCCAACCTGACAAACCAGGTAAACAGAAAAATGATTGAGAAGTAACAAGCAGTTTAAGGCCACTAGTGTTCATAGTTCATATAGTGTTCAATGTTCATAGTATTCAATAAGCAGAACATATCATGTTATTTTGATTTTTGTCAGTAATTCCTAAGAATAAAAAGAGGCAGCTCTGAAAAACCAGTGAATCTGGCATTGCCTGTTAACTTCTTTAAACTTAACTAATACCTTGTGTTAGAGGCAAAAAAAAAAGCAATTGAATTTAACCAAAAGGACTTTTTAAGCATAGAAATCAGCTATGCGTTTCACCTTTGACATTTAAAGAATGCTAAGGCATAAATGTTGACTATCTGTGTCCAAATAAAAACAGGAACTTCAACTGCTCATTTTACTTCAGTGCCAACAGTAAAGTTAAGAGCTCACGGAAAGTGAGCCACTTATTCCTTACTTAGTGGAAGCATTGGGCTAAGCAAAGGAAAGAAACAAACAAGAGCGGCTATATCAAAACTGAATTTATTTGCAAGCCAAATATATCCCATTCTCAAAGTTTTCTTTGAAGGTAAACATAGCAAAAGTCAGTCAAGTAATGTGGATTTGCTTCTTACTTGATTTCAAAATTTCAACAGCAATCATAAAAAAAATAGCTGCAAGCTGCCTAAGAACCAAAACAGCCATAAAGTGAGGAAGAAAAAACTCCACCTCAGTATCAAGATCTGAAGTGAGGGAATTCTCTTAAGTTTCTTCTGCTGATCAGAGGCTCAGAAAGCAGAGATGAAAGTTCCTTGCCCCAAGATTTACCTCAGAATGGCTCTTTTAAGAATTCATGCCAGAGCATTCCAACTACCACCAGGCCTTCTGCATTCTCAGAAACAGATAGGACAGTCTTGTCAGGTGGCTTCAGGACAGCAGGTCAAACCTCTTCCTTAAACTCTGCAGTCTATCTATACTTCTGGAAAATTTTGGTCTCCCATTATAAGTAGTAAAGATGGAAAACAAGACTTGAACAGTACTTCTTACCTCAGGGTAAGAACATTTTTAAAGTCATATTTACAGGAGCTGCCTGGCCCATTCAAGTATCACACAAAAGCAGACAAGTTCTCTCCAATATGTGATAACAGCTTAAATATAAGCTGTTGGGAAAAGGAGGATGCTGCTGCTTTTATTATATAGGATTAGCTTCGCAATCACAACACACAGCAAATTCTAACTGGATGTTAAGATTGGGAGGAGGGAAAGAAAATACACACTCTAAAAGCTGTCAAACACGCAAAGAAGTTGCCCAAGAAGGTTAGGGATTCCCTTGACCTTCATCCTTGCACATATTCAAAACTCATCTGGACAAGACACTGAGCAGCCTTATATAGTTGGACCCATTTTGAACACGGAGAGAAAAACATGATTTCTGGAGGTCCCTTCCAAGCTCCAAGTTGGCAATTTTATTTTTTTTATACCTATCTCAATGCCATTTCTTACCTAGCTCAAAGCTTATAATTTGGGCACAGCATAGAGGGATCGAAGCTTTTAACAACCCTAATAGGAATGAAGAGTAATGAGAAAGATGACTGGTCAGCAATTCTACCTTTTACAAGAATGCAGTTCTAACACCAGGTGTTCAGACTTGCCTTGGGAGCACTGCCCTGTCCTCCGTAGGCCTCACTCATTAAGAGTTACCGCACACATTGGGTCACAGGAACCCAGTTTAATGTTTTTTACAGAGACCTAACTTCAAAGGCCAATGTTTGGCACTCTCAGATTGACTACTACAAGGTATGCTGAAATTCTACCTGCCTTAGAATAGAGCACCTTTCTTGTCTCTTTCCCCAAAATGGTACTATCTGGATAGTCCTTTTTATTTCACATCTTACTGTCACAGCTACACTGGGCAAAGACGCAAATTTACATTACTACTTCTGATGTTGGCTGGAAACCGATTGTCAAAATAAGTTCTTTTGAATAGCTTCCCTGCCATGAAGCTGAAATATTTCATTAACTTTGAAAAGTACCTTGGCGTCAGAAGTAGTAATAAAAAAGATTAAGAGAAGCAAGGTGCAGCAGATATTTTTTTCTGTTCCATCTTCATTGTGTTCAGATGTAAGACATAAGAAGGGGAACTGTCCGAAAATTTACGAAAAAAGTCAGCTAAGGGGCATGCTTCCAAAAGATACACAACAACACACTATGTATGATTTTTTTTTGAAATCTATAACACACTCAGATTGAAAGATCACACTATCTATTTTACTGCATCCATATGTATACAGACACACACACAGAGAGGGGTCAGGGCAGGAGTTCAACACGCATTAGCAGAGGCTCTAGGAGCAAGAAGAAACTGCAAGCGCCCTTTAGCAGTGATTCCATTGAATGATTAAGTAGCAACACTAATTCTCTAATCTCATCTGGTCCTTGTTGATTTCAGTAACATGACAAAAAAAGCGAAGTCCATGGTGACTGTTAGCACTAGAGAGAAAACTGCTGAAAATGCAGGCAAAGACATCTGACATTCATACCATTTATTAAAAATTATGTTTGGTTTTATAACCAAAAACAACAGAAGCTTTTAAGTTTGATAAGCCAGGAAACCAAGATTCCTGATTTCACATTAGATATCAAACTGGGGACAGTTGAGACTTAGAACTTGTTATGCCCATGTTTTCTTCATTACATCTTATGCATTGGTTATTTTTCCACTGAAATTCCTACTAGAGATGTGAAGGATGAAAGTTACATATTAATAGAGAAAAGCCAAAGTAAGCATTTATTTTTCTGTCCTACCATTTCTTCTTTGCTTATCAGGATAGGTGTCATCTTCCTTAACGAAAGAAACACCTCGGCTATGAAAACCAGAATCAACATTCAGAGTTTTAAGTCAGTTTCTCACAGAGGAAACCATCCTGCCTGGATTTGCAATAAAGAAATATTTGTACTGCCCAGTATGTTTTATGAACTTGAATTTTTGGGAAAGAGGACAAAGGCAGAACAAGATTAATGCTATAGATCATCAATCACATTCCCATTTTATCATTTGTAACATAAACCAAAAAAAAAAAAAAAGGATTTTTGATCAAAAATGAGATTAACTTCAACTATCTGTTATTTACAGTGAAACACACCCATTAAGAGTTAAGCCATAGCGATATAAGAAGCAAAACAACTGCATTTCTCAGTTTCAATTTATAACTTTTAGAATAGCACAGCCACTAGTCATGCATGGGCTGTAAAATGCAGTAAAATTCCCACTCCAAGTAGCACTTCTGTAAGTGAACTAAAGTGTAATGGGAACCAAAAGCAAGACAAAGTGTGCCACATTCACACATGCTGTAAAGTAAGGACAAAGTTTAAGAAAGTGTAAAGGGCAGAAATCTGATTAAAAAAAAGGCAAAAATGAAACTCTGCTTTGTTCTCTTTCAGGGAGTCACTCTTCCTTGAGAGTTCAAAGCTCACTTAAGTCAGATCTACCCAGGAAATCCTCCACATACTTGTGGGACTATCCTTAAAGATCTTTCATCAACTCTAGCTTGTACTTGCAGATTTTTAAGCTCTGTGAACAGTCCCCATAAATCTTACCTAGAGAGGTTAAAAGCATGCTTAAGAAATAAATATGCTTACTGTTCTTGAATCAGAAAAAGGATTGTACTCATCTAATCCTGGAGGAACATTTCTTGTCACTTGTGTTACTGAGGGATCCTAGAAAAGAAAACGGATTGTAAATATACACGCACACAAAAAGCACGGAGTCTCACCTGCATCACCAATATCACATAAAACTCAATTATTTCAATGTAAAAAAAGGGGTTTTGCACTTTAAAAAGCCAGTAAATATCTGTTTTTCCTTCTCTGTCCCCTAAATGACATCATTCCACTCTGAGCTTCTTACAAACCTAGATTAACACAGTCTAAAGAGAAACTCCATCTGTCATACAGCCGATTTACAAAAGCTCTCAATAGAAAGGGAAGAAAACCCTACTCTGCTATTTAGGCTTCCGGACACCACAGCTATATACCAAATGGAGTATAACAGAAAGAGCTTTAACTTTGCATTTTCTGCACCGAAAACTACTTCCCAAACCTTCAATAAAAGTAGAAGCATTTCAGGAACTGAAAAAAGAAAAAGCTTTTCAGAAAAAAGCATCTCTTGGTTTAGCTTTTGCCTGAACTATCCACAGAAGAAAATGGCATTGTTTTTCTCCAAGGAAATACACAGCAAGGAAGATTGCTTAAGGTTCAGCTGAGAAAGTGGCTTCAGGAATAACATATCTGCCTACGTTACAGGCTGGTAGGCTTCGTTCTATAGGACAACAGAATTACCCATGATACACAAGTTTAACTTAGTATCAATAAAAATTGTATACATTCCATGTAATGACAGCTTCTACAAGATATTTTGTGATCTAACTGTTTCAGGTCTTCAGAATGTAAGAATAAGAGGAAGATTTTTTAAAAAATTATTATTCAATAATTACATTTAAACAAATATACAAAAGAAATGTGCATATTTTAAACAGATTAAAAGGATATAAATAAATAGTAGATTTGTATCTCTGCCAAGTAGTTATAGTTTAGCTTCAACAGTCACTTCAAAGTTAGGTAACAAAATGCAATAATAAAAACTGGGAAAAAAAAAAAAAGATCAGTATTCACATATATCTATAATTCTTAGGAAGACGGAAAAAGTCCTCAGAAAGAAACATTAATTTTAATTTTTTAAAGTAGTTATCATAAATGCATATTTAAAGCTGTATGGGTTAAATACATCTATAAATCTATTACAGCATTAATTTAGTCTTGAAAGCAATAACCTACTATATAAATACATAAATAAGTCAAAAAAAGATTTTTAAATATTCAACACAAGATGCTTCGTAACTCAATACCCAATCGTGGAAAGCTAGGTGAATGGCCTATATTTCAATTTATTCTGATGTTTTAAGGACAATGCAAGGTAGCAGAGCAAAAACATGCTAGCATTGGCTTCAGCCACTTGGTATGGCACGCCTTGCACAAACACCCTCAAATCATGGCTGCCTCCACATGATTATCAGCCAAGGGCTTCCAGGTTATTTTCTCAAGATAGTGATTTTAACAGACAGAAAATCCTTTGTAAGTCACAATCTATTAAGACAGTATTTAATGAGAAAATGCATAAATGTCGCAATGCTTCCTGTCACTGAATGTGCCACTCCTCATATCAACAGGTGCCAGTGTTGCGATATTAACAAGCAACTTGTCAGAATAAAAACAAATGGAAGGCATTCTATGGACTGCAATCTGGCACTAGATCAGAAGATTACTTAATTGTTGATTTGAGTCCTTCAAACAGTAATTCTTTTCCTACTCCTTAAACAACCACACAGGAACATGCAACTAAATCAACACTAAAATTAAAAAAAAAAAAGTTGCCAGCTATTTGCCAGCTATTTACCCTTTGCAATAAAACCAGGTACACTGTGCATGAATATGAACAGAAAGGGGAGGAGAAAAAAAGAGAAGGAACTAGAGGAAAAAAGTGTGCCAAAAGAGTGCTGACAGTGTGTTCATATCTGCTTCTCTGTTAGTTTTTCATACAAGGTCCTGAAGAATCAAAAGTGAGAGCAAAAAACTTTGCAGAAGAGAAAACTGCAACCAAAGCTTCCTTACTCAGCCACGAAGACAAAGATTGGGCAGCACCCTATCTAAGATCAGAAAATTCCATCCAGAACACAAGGGCAAACTTTACACCGACTTGTAAAGCTAGCTGGAGACTCAGTACATAAATCACTAACTTGAACCAAAGAAGTCTTCCAAGTAGATGAATCTAAAGTACATTATATGTTCCTCAGTCTTCTAGATCTGGAGATTTCAGTCTTCAAACCTGTGTTTCAGTCCACTTTCTGAGAAATACTTGCATCTAAATAATCATTTCTGATAACTACTATATATCGTTTATGGCACAGAAGACAAAAGCAAAGCAATAAACTTACCCAGAACATAGACCTACCTTAAAGAAAACGACTACATGCCTACACACAATAAAGTTATTGAAGTGCAGACACATACGAAACTCACCACCCAACAGCCACATGGCAAAAAAGGAAGTCTACATAATTACAACTCAAATAGTACTTAGTACTTCAAGGCGATTTGGTTGCTTAGATTTCTGTGCTTGTTCAGTATCTGATAGCCCGATTCTGACCATGAGGGACAAAAAAAAAAAAAAAAAAAAAAAAGCAACTGTTTGAATAACCGGTACAGGACAGACTAATAAGACAGTCACTGTACAGCAGCACGTTTCCAAAATGCAGGAACAAATGATTAAGTCAATTCAGAAACACAGTCTACACAGACAATTATACAATAATAGATATCCAATGAAAGAAGAACTTTCTTTGTGACGTGTTTTAAAGAAGGGAGAAAGTTTCATAGATATTTCTCTTGGTTCACCTAAGCAAGCTATTTCACCAATGGTTTAAGAATACGTTATATGTTTAAATACACAGAGTGATTACAGCAAGAAGACCTCCAATCATAACTTCATCCCCCTTTTTAATTAGGGATTGTTGTTATCACTGTAGTTCTGCCAAATTCTATTATTTCTTCCCAACTTGTTATTTGTTGTTCGCTAATATACCAGTCACTGAGATTTTTTTTCTAAGGGCATTTGTATCTCTGTATGAGAAAAGTTTTATTTTCTAGAAGGAAGAATTACTACAGGAAGAACTGCAAGAACTACTACAGTTGCATTAAAATACTCAAATTGGGCCCCAGGATGCCAAGTTGCATTTGAGTTCTCTTCTCAGAAAACCTAAATTAGAGAGTCTAAGCTTCAGCATAAGCCCATGGCCTGATTACTTCCAGAAGCTGGAAGACCTGAGGAGAAATAAATCCAAGATTACAGGGGAAAAAAATAGCTAGACAAGCTCAAGTCTGGAGTTTCAATCTCTCTCATATTCATTCACTGAGATCTTCTGCAATACAGGTGAAGAGCCTAACCACTTAGCCTCAAAAAAAAAAAAAAAAAAAAAAAAGCTCCATAGTCTGAATGTCCTCTTGGAGGCTCTGGGACTTTGAACTGTCCTGAACATCTACAGCACAGTGAATAGCTGATACCAAGATGAGTTGCACTTTGTATTTTTGACAGTACTTGGAACACTTAAAAATTGGACCTGTCATGCTAAAGAATATCCGAAATGATTGTGCATGTTTTACCTTATGCTCTTGGCATCTCATTAAAAAAAAAAAAGTGAATGCCAAGTCATTTAACTATAGTGCAAAAAAACAATTACATGGTATCACACACTCAAAGAAAGGAGGAAAAAAAGTCATTTAATAGATGTCCTTGAAAGGATGCTATCGAGTTGGCACACCGCACAAAGATTCACATCTTGAGGCAGATAGTGAAAGCTATCCTACTCCATAGGAACAAATATATCCAGTTAGGCATAACTTCTTTTTCTCCATGTTCCATCTTCTATCTATATAGCAAACGAAGTTAAATGTCTTATTTTCTAGTTCCTTTTGTTTACTAAGAGCAAGAAACAGAAAAAAAAAGTGAAGTTTCTATATATGATAGCCCACACAACAGTATAAAACAGGAATGCAGTTGAAGGCACCAAACATGCAAGGCCTTCAACCATTTGAGCCACATTACAAAAATAAAGCTGTTACTTTCTGCAACAGACTTCAAATATCCGATGTCCGCCACAGAATGGGGTAACTGCAGAATGCCCAATTCAATCTGTGATAGAGAAGGCTGTGTCCTTTGTCTTGGAGGATCAGTACTTCTACCCAGAATGAACCTGCCTTAGTACTAGCACCTTGCCACAATCTTTTTTCCTCACCACTCTGTCAGTCCCAGATTTCCAATCCTATTAATTCCCCAACTCCTTGTTCCTTCTTTCCAACTGGCATTTCCATCTGCTGCCTTACCTACCCCATGTTCCCCACAATTCAGTCTCTCAAGTTAGTGGTCTCTGACTTTATGAATTATCAGCCTCATCAATCAGTGAGTAGAATTTTAAGAGTAGATCACCATTCACACCCAGATATGCTACTTAGCAGTTCAAGGAAGTCATAAGTGCAGTTAAGCAACCATTTCAGATCATATTTTCAAGATCTAAATGATTTTGAAAGACAGGTTATCAACAAATCACAACTTAACTGTTTCCATCAAACAGCTCCTCTTTTCTGCACCATGTACTATCCCTCCCCTTGATATTAGCCTCAAAAGAAAAGACTAGGATCACATTCTTTTAAGAGTTTAAGAGTCAGGTACAAGCGTTTAAGAATGGAAAATGTAGTCACACACACACAAAACATGAAGAGGAACACACATCTCCCCCAGTACCCCAAAAAAATCAAGGGGCATGTGACTGAAATGGAACTGTCTGTTCTAGGCAAGCTTAAAAAAAAAAAAAAAAAAGGAATATCTCTGTTGTCTAGGAGACCAAAGCTAATCATCAGCTACCATGTTTTGTTAATACAGAACAAATTACAAAATTAAAGATGGAAGAACTAGATACATCTGTAATGATTCTTTGTATTAGTGTTCCTGGGAATAGGTCCAGCATTCTTTTAGAGTTAAGACGCTTTGCTAGCATAGATAACATTCTGAACTAACCCACTAAGTTCATTTTTCACTGTAATTTAAATTGCTATGAAGTTAGTCAGTGAAGAAAGAGTAGTAGTCAGTGAAGAAAGAATAGAGAGGT